GGCGTCCCCAAACTACGGCCCTTGGGCCGCATGCAGCCCCCTGAGGCCATTTATCCGGCCCCCCACAGCACTTCAGGAAAGGGCACCTCTTTCATTGGTGGTCAGTGAGAGGAGCACAGTATGTGGTGGCCCTCCAACGGTCTGAGGGACAGTGAACTGGCCCCCTGTGTAAAAAGTTTGGGAATGCCTGATTTATACGATCAATGTTCTGTGTATTTTGGTATGTTTTTGTGGTGGCTGGTTTGCCTTTTGTTTCCATGTTTAGTACTTCCTTAAGGACCTTTAGGAAGGCACATCTGATGAGAATGAACTCCTTTAGTATTTCCTTTTTTGAAAAGGATTTTATTTGTTAATCACTTTTGAAGCAGTTTGACTGGATATGAAATTCTTGGTTGGAATTTCCTTTTTTCAGGAATACAGAATACAGATCCCCAATCTCTTCTAACTTGTAAGATTTCTGCTGACTAGTTCACTGTTAGCCTGGTACAGTTCCCTTTGTATATGACCTGCCCCTTTCCCTAGCTGTCTTTAAGATTTCTTTTTTCTTCTTTTTTTTTTTAAATTTTTTATTGCATTTTAGGTTTTGGGGTACATGTGAAGAACATGCAAGATTGTTGCATAGATACACACATAGCAGTGTGATTTGCTGCCTTCCTCTCCTTCACCTATATCTGGCATTTCTCCCCATGCTATCTCTCCCCACCTCCCCAACCCACATCCCTCCCCCATTTCCCCCCAACAGACCCCAGTGTGTAGTGCTCCTCTCCCTGTGTCCATGTGTTCTCATTGTTCAACACTCGCTTATGAATGAGAACATGCTGTGTTTGATTTTCTGCCATGTGCAGAAAGCAGAAACTGGACCCCTTCCTGACACCTTACACTAAAATTAACTCCAGATGGATTAAAGATTTAAACATAAGACCTAACACCATACAAACCCTAGAAGAAAATCTAGGCAAAACCATTCAGGACATAGGTGTAGGCAAGGACTTCATGACCAAAACACCAAAAGCATTGGCAACAAAAGCCAAAATAGACAAATGGGACCTAATCAAACCCACAGCTTCTTCATAGCAAAATATTTCTTACTCACATTGACCTTGGAGACCTTCTTTCACTCTCTATTTTAAGAATTGTTGTCTTATATAATATCTTTTTGGAGTTCTCTGAATTTCCTGAATTTGTATGTTGACTTCTCTAGCAAGGTTGAGAAAGTTTTTATTGACAATATCCTCCAATACGTTTTCCAAGTTAATTGAACTCTCTATCTCTTTAGGAATTCCAGTGAGTCACAGGTTTGGTGTCTATAGAATCCCGTATTTCTTGGAGGTTTTGTTCATTTTTTTAATTCTTTTTTTTTTTTTTTTTTGTCTGCCTTCATTGATTCAAAGCAACAGTCCATCTCTGATACTCTTTTCTCAGCTTGATCTATTCTATCATTAATGTTTCCCATTATATTATGAAATTTCTTTAGTGAATTTTTTTATTTCCAGAAGTTCAGTTTCATTCCTTCTTATTGTGTCTATGTTGTCTTTCTACTCTTGGTCAGTTTTACTGTTTTCCTTGGATTGGGTTTCACCTTTCTCCTGTATTTCACTGAGTTTCCTTGCCATCTAGATTCTGAATTCTATGTCTGTCATTTTAACAATTTCAATCAGGTTAAGAACCATTGCTGGCGAGCTAGTTAAGTCATTTGCAGGCAAGAAGACACTCTGGCTTTTAAAGCTGCCAGAATTCTTGAGCTGTTTCTTTCTCATCTGTGTCAACTAATGTTTCTTTAATCTTTGAAATTACTTTTTTTTTTTTTTGGATGGTGCTTTTTGTTTTTATATTCTTTGTTGTCCTTGAGGTTTTGACTGTAGTGTAAATTTGGGTTTGTTAGATTGTTTTCCATTTTGGATGCTTTTGGGGGACCAAGGCTTAATTCCGCACTCCAAGGATAAGGGCTCTGTCTCTGGGAAACTAGAGCAAGACCTGTGGCTTTGTTCTGTGGCCCCTTGTGGTCAAACATCTGCTCTGCTGGAGGTGCTGGTGTGTTTCCAGTCTACTAGCAACAACATTCCAATCAAGGTTGCTGGTAAAAGAGCTTCATTGGAGCAGTGGAGACACCATGGGAGAATGTAATCCAACAGGGTAGCAGGGGGCCACAGGCACATATGTAGTGATGGGGCAACCACGGGTGTACACTTGCTCACAGGGTAGCAGGAGTAAGCTTCAGGTTACTGTGCACTGATGGGAGAAACTGAAGGTGGCTCTGTTCCAGCAGAGATCCATATGCAAAAGTGAAAAACTGAAAGTTGGGAGCTGCTAGCTGAAGAACTATGACAGCCACTGCTGGCAAGAGCTTTGGCAGGGCAGCTGATGCTGTCCACTAAGTGAGTGTGGCTATGCAGGGACCCTAGTAGAAGCTAGCACAGAGAGGAATGGTTGGATCAGACTGGCCCAGGCCCATGTGCAATACAGGCCTGATTTCTCCAGACCTGTGAGCTAACAAAAGCTAAAGCCACCTAAAGAAATATGGAGCCTTGAAGGATGGACACCTGTGGACGTGCTCCACTGCAGCTATTCCTATGCCAAACTCTCTGGGCTCCACACAGAGTAGAGTACTGTCTCTGCCAATTCTCTGGGAAGTTTTCCCTGCCAACCAAAATGTCTCTAGGTGTCACGGAGCCTCCTTCAGCTAGGATCTCCTGGTGGTCCATGGTAAGAGTGGGCCACTCCATGTCTGTTTTACTCATTCCTTTTCTATGAGCTGTGCAGGGCCAAGAATGAGTTACAGTGCTCAGGAACCCTATGCAGGATTCCTAGATTCCTCCCCTTTTAGCTCTGGAGTCTGCATTCTCCCTCTCTTCACTCTTAATGCCTTTTATCCAAAGATCTGTTTGGAGTTTGCCATTCTGCTTGATATTCTGGTCTTTTTTAGTGTAGGAAGCTCTTCCAGAATTCATATGGTCAACCGAATTGGCTCTACCCTCTAACTACTTTAATTTATATAATATACACACATGAATCTAAAGACAAAAATTGGCAGAGTGTATAAAAACAGAATTCAGCCATATGCTGTCCAAAAGACACACTTCAAACAAAATGACAATAATACATTGAGTATAAAAGAATAGAAAAAAAATACGTAATGCAAGCATTAATCAGTAAAAACTAGGAGTGGCTATATTAATACAAGACAGATAGACTTTAGTTCAAAAAAAATTGCAAGGGACATTATATAAATGATAAAAGTCCTAATCTATTAAGTAGACAAAGCAATTCTGAATTCCAAACAGCAAAGAGCAGAACTTCAAAATACATGAAACAAAAGCCAATAAGGCTGAAATAGGAATAGACAAACCATAGTTATAGTTGAGCATGTTTACAATCCACTCTCAGGTAACTGATGGAACTGCTATAAAGAAAACAAGAAAGGACATTTAAAAAACTGAACAACCTTATTGCTCAAGAGGATGTAATAAAAATATAGAGAATATACTCACCTACAAAGAAGAATACACATCCTGCTCAAGTACTCATGAAACATTTACCAAGATAGAACAAGATGAACCATAAGAAATGTGAAAGAATTGCAATGATGTAGCGTATGGTCTTTGACTAAAATGGAATAAAACTAGAAATCAGTAGAAAAAGGAAAACAAAAGTCCTCAAACACTGAGAAATTAAATCATACCCTTCAAAATCTTGCAATAAATGAGACAATTTCAAATAAAATGAAAATATGCCTAGCACTGAATGCAATTGAAAGCATGACATATCAAAATTTTTGGGGTGCAACTAAAGCTGTACTGAGGAAAGATATTTACAAAACTAAATGTTTATTTTAGAAAAGAGTAAAGAAACAAATCAATAATCTCAGTTCCTACTTAAAGAGATTAGAAAAAGGAAAGTAAAATGAACCCAAAGCAAGCAGTCGGAGAGAAACAATAGAGATAAAAAGTGGAAATCTATGAAACTAAAAACAGATAAACAACAGAAATAACTGAAAAACATAAATAACTAGCTTTAAAAATCAATAAAATTAATACACTTATGGCAAGACTGGCAAAGACAAGAGAGAGAAGGCACAAATAACAGATCAGGAGCAAAATGGGGTATCAGAACAAATCCTGCAGCCATTAAAATAATAATGAGTATAATACGAACAACTTTTAATTCATAAAGTCAACAACTTAAAAAATTTCTCACACATCATTAATTGTCAAAAGTCAGATAAGAAAAAACACATAATCTGCACTATAGCTATTAAAGAAACAGAATTTGAGACCAGCAGGATGGCTCATTTCTGTAATCCCAGCACTTTGTGAGGCCGAGGCAAGTGGATCACCTGAGGTCAGGAGTTGGCCTGACCAACATGGTGAAACCTGATCTCCACTAAAAATACAAAAAATTAGCCAAGCGTAGTGGTGTGTGCCTGTCGTCCCAGCCACCTGGGAGGCTGAGACACAAGAATTGCTTGAATCCAGGAGGTGGAGGTTGGAGTGAACTGAAATCACACCACACCACTGCACTCCAGACTGGGCAACAGAGTGAGACTGTCTCAGAAAAATAAAAAAAGAAAGAAAATTTGAAATATACAATTTCCCTAAAAGTAGATAAGCAGGAACAAATGTTTTTCCAAAGAATTTTACCAAATCTTCAAATCAGGACTAACGTCCTTAAGTTCAGTTTTTACAGAAGGCTTGAAGATCTAGGGAGAGTTGGGGGAATAAAAGTAGCAATATTTTGCTGAGATTTGGATTCTATCGCTGCTCAAGTTTGGAACACTTGAGTATATAAATTCAGACTAAAACTTAATTTGCATTTGAAGTATTTCAATGTAGCTCAGTTTTCCTGGTCACAAATAAATGACCCCTGAAGATTTATGTACAATGTGAATCGGTATAGATTGTTGAAAGTATTTGATTAAAAATATATATGTTTAAAAATTAACTCTGTGAGTGGGTAAAGGCATAGGGCCACAGTGGAAAATTGACTTGGAGTCTGGAGTATACCTTGCAGTTGTTCTCCCAGAAAGACTTAGGAAGAAGATCAGTAGGTAGATGTGTTTTCACAATCCGGGGTGATGGATTCTTCTCTAATTCTTCTACACCTGAGAAATTTTAGTTAAGTGTATAGATATATTAGAGTCTCCAAGGAGGCTACATTTCCTTATTTCCTTCTTTTTCCAACCAGTTTTTTTTTGTTTGTTTGTTTTTTTTCTTGAGATGAAGTCCCACTCTGTCACCAGGCTGGAGTGAAATGGTGCAGTCTCTGCTCACTGCAACCTCTGCCTCCTGGGTTCAAGCAATTATCCTGCCTCAGCCTCCTGAGTAGCTGGGACTACAGGCTTGTGCCACCACACCCAGCTAAGTTTTCTCTTTTTAAAAAATTTTTAGTAGAGATGGAGTTTCACCATGTTGGCCAGGATGGTCTTTATCTCTTAACTTTGTGATCCACCCACCTTGACCTCCCAAAGTGCTGGCATTATAGGCGTGAGCCACAGTGCCTGGCTGCCAACCAGTTTTTCAAGATATTTTTGAGCATTATACAATGCAGCTAAATTCTGAGTCAATGACAGGGATTTCTGTGTAACACTGTGTAACATTCAAGGTGCACATTCTGAGGTTAACTCCCTGAGTTCAAATGCTGACTCTTTCACTTAAGCATTGTGAGACACTTTGAAAGTATTTCAGAATCTCTGTACTTCACTTTCCCTGTCTCCAAAATGAGAAACAATAATACTCCTTTTAATAATTTGGAGTTTTACTGTACCTGTGCATTGTTATGAATGACTTTTTAAATGTTTTCTGCATGCCAAGGAGATATCAATAATTAGTAAGTCTAAAATTGGCTATTGTGTTTTATCAGGTACTGTAGCATAGATGAAGTTAATTTTGTATATATTACCACCTGTTGTATCTATATTTTCATTATATCCTATAAGTGTCATATGTCTCTCCATATATGGATGCACAGTAAAAATGTGTAATCTTTAGAGGTTACCTTAACTCTCTAAAGTCACACAATAAATACATGGTAGAACTTGGTTTCAGATTAAGGTCCTAAGAGAGATGATACATGAACTTCTCATGCATTCTTTTTTGTTTTACAGTATTACTTATACACAGTCTAAACTCTAGAATACCTGATAATCTTGCATATTTTTGCCATCTCTGAATACAAAAGCAAACTCACACAAAATTGCATCTGACTCACTCATTGAAAACAATACTTGTTTTAAATATTCGCAGTAATTCACTTCATATGCTAAGAAGTCATTCGGCCTATTACAACATTTTTCTTTTAATGTTCTATATAACCTACTTTGTTTAACAGTTTAATTACTTATTTGTTTGTTTATTCATGTTCTCATATCCCTTCCCCAACCTCACTCCTAAACAAACACTAAAATGGAGATTTCAAAAGAGCAGAAATGTAACTTTTTTTGTTCATGAATAAATGTCCATAGAGAACAGTGAATAGCACATAGTCAGTATGCAAAAGATCTATTTAATGTCAGTAGAGACAGGTTTGGCAGACAGGAAATTTTAAAATGTGAAAATCCCAGTTAAATTTGTATTACCAGATAAATAGCAGGTTGTTTTTAGCATAAATATTTCTTACAACATTTGAAAAGTACTTATACTTAATAAAATGGTTATTTATCTGAATTTCAAATTAATTAATTGTCACGTATTTTGTTTGCAAACATAAATTACTGTAAGCATATATTACTATACAACTCCACCAGGGATTTTATTATGCTTCTACTAATCTAGCAGCTACAGTCCCTTTACCCAGCATATATAAATGAGAAATTGTAATCTTCCATGACTTGTTATTACTTAATGCCCACAACATAATTCAGATCTGTTTCTCTTAAGAAGTTTTGCTCACATCTGTTGTTCCTTGTTCCTCATTCAGCTTCCCTGAAAGATTTCTCAATTTCCCCTGTTTTGCAATCATTTTGCCAAGAGTCTTTTAAATGAACTCTTTATATCCACAAGTATGAGTGTTAGGAATGTATAAAGATAACACAATTCTTCACATTCAGGCTCTAGAGTAGATTTAAATGCTGAAGTTTACCCTTGTCTACCTGCTGGACTTCAACTATTCACTGTTAGGCAATGTGACACAGCCTCCCTCTGTATTCCCAATCCTGCCTTCCATCTGTTATCTCTGACTACCACATCTTAGATTTCTTTGGTTCTGTCATTTTTCATTTTATACTTTCTATGGCTCCAAAGTCTTACCTCAGTCTTAAACCCATTAGTATTCCTTGCCCTCTGCATAATCCCTCAGTTCTAAGCTTTCCAAGGATTGACATGTTTAAGAACATCAAACTCCCATCATAACCATTTGCTTTAGGAATCTTTGCAGTTTGCATTTTAAGTCCTTGACGTATGTAAGAGTAACAGGTTTGTGAGAATAGCAGATTTGGTTTTAAGTAAAAAGTGTTGAGTATTTATACCTGAATTTTAACTTGAAATCTTGCTTTCTATTTTTCTTTTTAAATTTTTTTTAGAGACAGAGTCTTTCTCTGTTGCTCAGATTGGAGTACAGTGGTAGAATCACTGCTAAGTTTCTGTGTAGTTTTGGAACATTTAAAGTGACTAGGATTTGCTGTATTTATGAGTTTAATTTATTAGACTATAAATACTTGAAAGGGTTTGTCTTGGTCAGATAAATGAAGTACTCAAGGAAATGAAATATACTAATTATATAAATGCCACTTAAGTATCTAAAGGAGCTTAATTAAATTTAGCTTGGATTAAATATTAAACCCCTTTTGTTAAGTAACATAATAATATTTATTTATTTATTTATTTATTGAGACAGTTTCGCTCTTGTTACCCAGGCTGGAGTGCAATGGCGCGATCTCGGCTCACCGCAACCTCCGCCTCCTGGGTTCAGGCAATTCTCCTGCCTCAGCCTCCTGAGTAGCTGGGATTACAGGCACGCACCACCATGCCCAGCTAATTTTTTTGTATTTTTAGTAGAGACGGGGTTTCACCATGTTGACCAGGATGGTCTCGATCTCTTGACCTCGTGATCCACCTGCCTCGGCCTCCCAAAGTGCTGGGATTACAGGCTTGAGCCACCGCGCCCAGCCCAATAATAATATTTATAAGCTGAACTTGATGGCTTAGGAAATAACTGGGATTTTAGATTTGTAACTTCGAAAAATTGAATGTATTTTTTTAAACAAAACAAAACAAAAAAAGATTGGCATTTGCTCTCTGATTTTTGGCAAGACCTAGAAGGACGGACAGCCTGCCAGTTGATCCCTCTCCTACTATGGAAACTAGTTCAGTCAGCCTGCTGAGGGGCTCCTCCACTACAGGAGAGAATTTGGATATTTCTCTTTCTATTGACATACAGTTCTATCACCATCCTACTATTTATTTTTATCCGATGATTCCAGCAACATTTGAGAGTCAAGCTTTACTTCTTGAATACCCCTCTCATTTACCTACAGAACATCAGACTCTTTCATTTCCTCCAGGCTTTTTTTCTGTTGTTGTTGTTCAGTTTCCTTTGCTAACTCCTCTTTCTCTACCAATCATCTTCATGTTGATGTTTTTCACAGCTCAGTCCTGCCCTTTTCATATTGCTCCACAGGCTTTCCCTGGGCAAACACATTGATTCCAATGTCCGATTACTCTGAGCATTGCCTAATAAATATCTTTTAACAAATACTATCATTTTAATTTATTAAATTTTTAACTGATTATAATATCCAATGGCGTCTCAAAGTTAACATTTCACAACTGGATTATTAATAACCCTACACCCAAATGTGTTCCTCTCCACGTACTTTTCCTTGCAAGCAAATGGTTCCACAGTCTGCTTGCTTGATGGAAATGAAACGGTAAGAGTCATTCTTAATTCTTACATTTCCTTCATATTTCTTTTACAGTCCATGAACAAGTCAAAAATATATCTTCTCTAGCATCCTCAATTCCACCTCCACAAAGCAACCTGTGGAGCCTTTGTATTTAAAACAACAAAAAACAACAAAAACTTTATAATTTTTCTTTGCCTAAAACCCTTCAATGTCTTCCTCAATGTTCTTAGGATAAAATGAGAGAACATTTTAGGAATTACAAGTCCTACATGATCTGTCCTAGCCTAATTTCCAATTGCTTCACATCCCAATTTTTCCTTCTTTCATGGATCTTTATAGTCCCTGGATTACATCAAGATCTTCCTGGAATAAGTTTTCCAGCACTATATCCTAGAATATTCTTTCCCCAAGTGTGTACAACTCTTTAATCTCAATTTGGAGTAGATACCCCTTGTTTAATAAAATTTACACTAAAGCTGTCTTTTTATACATTTTAACTTTGGCTTAAAGGTTTTTCTATATGTAGTGAACTGTAACCTAACTGGATGTGTAAACAGATTCTAATCTACTCTTGTGTTAATCACCAAGTATCAGTCAAAGGTGGCCAACTCTTCAAATTGTGTTCAAATAAGTCAAAAACTAAGCTGTAACTAAGCCAGTTGTTTCTATAGCTCACTTCTGTTTTCTGCATGTTACATTTTTTCTTTCCATAAACCCTGTGGCTTTTCTGGAACCTCTGAGGCCATTTTGGCTGAAGAGGCTGACCCATTTGTGAATTGTCCTTTGCTCAATTAAACTCTGTTAAATTTAATTTGTCTAAGTTTTTTTCCTTTATACCCATTTAAAGTGAACTTTCCTATTGTTCACTTCCATAGAAGCCTATTCGTTGTCTATGTAAGGCTAATAACATTGATATATTATTTACTTTTTAATATTACAATATAATTGTAAGCTCCCTGTGATACCACATATAATTTCTAATTATTGTATATCTATACCATAGCACAGTGAATAATCTTTACAAGCAATACATAAATATTTATGAAAGAAAAATTAATAGTATTAGTGAATTCTATGTTTTAAGAAGAGTTGCTACTTACTTATTTATTAGTTATAACAATGTCCTAAATTAGGAACTAATCTGACAAATTCTACCCAACAAAATTCAGTCAGACATAAAGAATATTATTTATTTTATTAACCAAATTTTCAATTGCTTTCTACAGTAAGACTCTTTCATCTTTGCATGTTTTGTATCTTTACAGGTATCATACTTGAATATACAACAGACGAAAATACAGTTTTTTTCATATTCCTCAGTTTTATATTGTTTATCAACTTCCATTTTATGTTACCAAATCTACTCCAGTTTCAGTCAAAGTCACACATACAATAATGCATATGATGTGTAAATAATCTGACAAAATTATAATTCCAAGTAGATTAAATTTACCTGATACTCTTACTCCAGAGAGAGACATTTCCAACATTGGAACTCTTTTGTTAATAACATCTCGCTTACATTTTTCAACATCTCCATCATTAAGAATCATGTCTACAATTTCACTAACCCAAGTATTACCTGTGGCAAAAGGCAATATTTAAAAAAAAATCATTACCTTAATTGCACAGGAGGGGGGAAGTATCTATTAGAAACACTATCATCTTAACACATACTGTTAAAGACTTAATTCCCCTTTCTATGCCCCAGATGTCAATTTTAATATACTAAAAGAAGATGGCTTCACTAAATTAATATTAAATCTATGTAGAATGGTAATAATTTTATGGAGAAGTTGATTTCCAGGAAACAAAAATTGAAGTCAGACTTGAATTTGTCAGGCCACAGAACTCACCTGATTTAGGATAAGTGGCTATCACAATGTCATCTGGTCTACTACGAAACTGTTCAATCCTTTCCCAGTTGCTCACAAAAGCACAGGGCATGGGACAACCATGAACTAACTTCAGATCTTTTCGCATAACATCTTCTGGTGAAAGCATTTTAATACCAGATTTTACAAATATATAATAGATTGACAGCCGTTCTGGAGAAATACAGAGGACAAAATCAGAATCTGAGTCACTAATGTTGCCCTTAATACACTGCAATTTGTTACAAAGTAAAATTGGCCTTTAACATCCTGGGTACATGGAGTTCTAAGCACAAAGAACATATTGTGTGGTCATTAGGCTGCAGTAGATTGCAAGAGCTACAGCTGGTTCCGTGACAAGTAGGACAAAGGTCTCTAGTGGAAGCTTTGGAAACAAATGAAACTGTATATCTCACTTTGAATTAAAAGGCATGTTTCACAGAAATATGCCAAAAACAATCTGGACAATCTGGACTTAAGGTAAAATAAATCCACGGCTTATTATTAACACTTCAGCTATACCTCGCTTTTCCATACAAAAAATCTGCTCTGTCATTCTGACCTTTGATCTTCAGTTTGTAATTTATCTGCTTTCTTTGCCTGCTTGTAATTTCTTTCTTTATCACTCATTTGGAGCAAGTGAATTATAATGTTCCTAGGTGTGGTTATTTTCATTTATGTGTGTGTGTGTGTGTGTGTGTGTGTGTGCAGCTGTTGAAAGCCTTCTTGGTGTGGGTACTCTGAATCCTCCTGAGGTGGATGAGGACATCACATGGCAAGCGACTGAACATGCTATCCAGATCTCTTCTTCCTCCTCTTACAAAGCTACCAGACCCACTCCCATGATAACTCTCATGACTCAACCTGCCTCATCACTCAATCACCTCTTAAAGGCCCCATCTCTCAATACAACAACCTTGGGAATTAAATTCCAACATAAGTTTTGGAGAGGAAAAATATTCAAATCATAGTACATTAATGAATACCTTATGTGAGCAAGGGAAGTAAACTTCAGTTTCATCCTATCATTGACTAAAATTCTGGATCAGACTAAATCATTACATTTTTTATTGAGAGTTACTTCAATTCAATGTTACAAGAAAAAATTGTTTAATCTTTAATTAATATTTTAATCATAGTACTAATAATACTAACATACACAGTCTCTTTCTTGCTCTGTTTCTCAGTCTTTGTCATATATGTATGTGTTCAAAGGCAGTCAGACAGGACGAATTCCTCTTTACTTCTAGGAGAGTCACCCTTTTGGTTCTATTCAGGTCCTCAACTGATTGCATGAGACCCATTCACATAAGGGAAGGCAATCTGCTTTACTCAGTCTACCAATTCAAATTTTAATCTCATCTAAACACATACACACACACACACACAGAGAGAGAGAGAGAGAGAGAGAGAGAGAGAGAGAGATAGACAGACAGAGAGAGAGAGAGAGAGAGAGAGTAATGTCTGATCAAATATCTGGGTTCCCTGTGGCCCCATCAATTGGACATGTAAAATTAGTATCTCAGAGAGCTGTCTATTATTTATTTTTTACACTTCATTTCCACTGAACTTTATAAGTAAAATCATAGCCTTGCTTTTAATATTTTTTATTTTACAACACTTTTATTTTATTTTACAATTTATAGATTCCTTCATAATCGATTGTTCCATTTATTTCTGAAGATCTGTTGATTTAATAACATAGAAAATGTATGCTATTATATAAATAGAGATAATTTGAACTAATTGCAGTATAAATTGCATGATATCTTAGCTGAAATTATATCACTTCAAGTAAAATAACTTTAAACTTGAAAGATTGCCAATTAGAGGTTCTTAATTGATTAAGTATATTTTATGGTAAATATTTTTAGTAATTTGTGATTCTAAAATTTTTCAGAGGAGTTTAAAAAGGTAATTTATTAAGCTCTCAATAGTCACTTTCTTAATGAGACCCACAAACAAAAATTACTAATTTAATAGCTAGCCACGACTTAAAGTAGTTTACCTAATATTAATTGGTATAGAAAAAGATACGATTTTGACTAGGAAAAGCATGGTAATATAACAGCCTTGTATTTCAAAGGCAACTCCTCCACCATCACTACCTCTATCTACACACACACACAGAAATCTAGGAGGGAGAAATTTGGGTAGATATTTTTTCATTTTATATTGTAAGACATTTATTACATACCATATTTTACATGTTATCATTCATGTAATGATATTTTTTACACAAAAATGCTTTGTCATTTTCTTTTTCCAGTAAAACTCATTATTCAACAATATGTTTGTCTCAAAACATATAGCACCTTATGCTACAAATAGAGTGAAAATGAAGAAAAAATACTTGAGTTTTGCATTTTCCTTCTGCTTATTGAGTGATGAAGTTGTAGGCCTCAGAAACCTGGAACAGAGGATAGTAATGAAGAAGTGGTCTCAAAATAGATTAGACACAAGTTTAGAGCATGCAAGACCCTGAGACAAGAATGACAGCTGAGTGATTGGAGCATTTTAGAAAAATTATATTAAATATTTATCTTCTATATGCTTCTCCATTATCCTCCATTCCCAGCACAATGTCAGGTAGCCTTTGCAATCCTTTGTTAGCAAAGAGGCTGAGTCTCAGAGAAAATATTTTCCAGCATGAAATACTATGGAACATGCTGGCAGCTCAAGAAAGGAAAAACTAATATGGATGGTCAAGAAGTCAGCAGAAGCAGGAAGTTGAAAGAAGAGAAAGTAAATCTGTAAGTAGTGTACTTGGGATGAAGTTGGAATTGAATAAATTGAATGAAGAAATGGATGAACAATGAGACTTCCACTTCTCACTGAGAATCTTCTAGTGTGTTGAGAATAGAGTACATTTCCAGTTTGGATATAAAGGAATGAGTGTCCACAGAATTCAACACAGTACATTCAGATATTAAACTTGATTTTCACGTAATTAATGAAATAGCTCTTTCTGAAACATTTTATTATGTTAATTTCTCAACAAATTGTTTCTTTCCAATTTATCTAAAGGAAATATCAATTGCACATCTCATTTCAACAGTTGTATATTACGAATTAATTGAGAAAAAAAATCTGTATTCATTAGCTCCAGAATGTAATGTTTAGTGGCAGTATAACTTTACTTATCGACGGATACAATGTGTCCATATTATGCAAAAATGAATGAATATTGAAGAAGCAGATACCCTTTCATGCTATCTGTTAAGATTATATAGATAAATTGATTCCACTTATAGTAGGTAGTTTATATTATACATTTATAGCATAATTTCTGGCTCCATTTCATGTCTTAGTTCATCCTTTGCCTTTTCTTCATTTTTTTCTTAAATTTAATTTAAATTTATAAATATTCAATTTATTTATTCATAAACAATTTAATCATATTAATTGAATTAACTTGATTACTTAAAAATTTAATTTAATATTTATTAATTGATAATTAATGATCATTTATCTTACTTTAATTTGTACTATTCTTTCACATGTATAAAATTGATTCACAATTTCTATTTAAATTACAGTCCATGTACAAGTCCCATGTGCTATTGGCCTTATCTGATAGCTTGTTAAAAATGTACAATCTCAGCTTTCAACCCAGAAACAGAACCTACAGTTTAGTAAGATCCTCAACTAATTTGTTGGCTCTTAAAACTTGAGAAAATGACATTAAATCACCTTTAATTATCTAATGATCCAGAGTGTATGTAAATGATTTATCAAAATCAATTTAGTGTCTTTTAAAACAAATTGTATCGATCGTGCTTCATGTATATGATCTCTAATCATTACCTACCCTGAAAAGATAAGTCTTACATTTATTGGATAAGATTAGGAAACAAATCTTCAGAGTGCCTGCTCAGAGAAACACAGAAAAAGAGTGGCAACCCAGAAATGGACTTTAGTTTTGCCCAGCTCTGCTCATGTGGTCATACTGAAAATTTACTCTAGGCCCAATCCAGAGTCAAAAATGTCCATCACTTATCTCATCCAAACAAGAATGTTGACAAGTTGTAAGGGATTTTTGTTCTGACAATGAAAATTTCCTGTGAAAAAAGATCAGGCTCTTCATGGTGTAAAAATGTTGCCGGTGAAAGATGGAATGAATAAGAAGATGAAAATCAGGCAACTGATGGTGAATATATGCTAGTCATCTCTGGGAAATGAGTGTGACCTATTCAGGAAGCTACAAGGTATTAGGCATGAAATAGCATTACCTCATCATGACCAGTGGATAATAATGAGTTCTGAATTATATGAGGAGAAGGATAGGGAGGGGAGGACTAGAAGATGTAAAATAATAAACTAGATATGCTGAATGATAACTTATGAATGACATTTACTTTAAAATCTAAAAATCAGTTCATAAAACATTTTAAACCCTATCGGAAAGGAACTGGCAATTTAATGTAGTTGTAAATTCTAGTCTACACGGGATCTCAAGACTGCCTATTTAAGATGAGCCATAGACTGAAAATTAAAATGTCTAAAATTGGCTTTAAGGAATAGTAATGGAACAAAAGAGAAAAATAAAAAAGAATGCCTGTTTTAGAAGAAATTGAGTCATTTAACATTAAGACTGTATTTTTGTTTCAATTAGAAAAAATAATTTCTTCCATTTGTCATACCCTGACAAAGTTTGGCTCTATCTGGTACACATCAAATCCAGTTACTTAAATAAATATAGTAAATGACATATTTTATATTTTGGAATGCACCTTAAAGGTGTGTGTGTATGTGCATATGTGTGCATGCGTGCATGTGAGTGAGACTGGATGAAAGATGTGAGCAGAGAAACAAAAGCTTGAAAAGGATTTCTTTTCCTTAAGTGGCTTACAGTTTGATGAGACTTCCATTCCTGGCATGCTTCAGAAGAGTTCCATTAAATCCAGAAAAATAAAATTGAACATTGAGAGCTTGAAAGATTTTAGACAGCATAAACAACAACAGAGTTTCCTGTAAGAAAATTGGAATTACGCAAAAGACTTTCTAATGATAAAATATGTCCAAAACAGAAATTGTTCTAAGGCACACAATACTGTGTGTGGGGTAGGACAAAACTTCAAGGAAAGGAATTGAAAAGCAAATTTTACCTCACAATTTAATCCCTTTGTTCAGTTTTCACTTTCAGCCAGTGAAGCTGCTGTAGAGTAACCCTGAGAAGCAGTGGTGGTTCCAGCAGGGAATGGTGAGCCCAGGAAGGCTCATTCCTGTCACCCGAAAAATAAACAAGTTCAAAGTTTGATCTGAATGTAGCAATCACTGACTACTTTACAGGCAGCTAAGATACAGAAAGTTTAAACTACCCACACCCACAATCACACACACACATACACACAGGAGGCAAGCTCCACTGTTTCAACAGCTAACAAAGCCAGGAAGCCAGGAAATGGATCAGGGTGGTGGCCTTAAGTCAGCACAGGCACAGATTGTCTAGAATTTAAGCTCTCTGCAAGCTTCAAAGGGTCTGAGAAATGCAGAGGGTAAGAACATGAAGGGTTAGTGGATCAAAATTGTTGCTTCTCTCTATCTTATAAGAATGTTTTCTAGTAATTTTGGCCATAACAAAAATAAAAATTGTGTGTGTGTGTGTGTGTGTGTGTCTGTGTATGTTTCCATCTGGAAGAAACATGAGTTTCCAACATCATTAAAGATCAAATATATTAAAGATGAATTTGACAGCAGAAACAAAAACACTCTAATCATTTCCACAACTCTTGGCTTTTTCTTCTTTTGGTATGCAAAATGACATAAACAAGAAACAAGTGGAAATCAATCCATTTGTTAAGAGCACTCATCTCAAACTTCTACACAACTGCAACAGCCAAGCTCCTGCCCCTGTAGCTATACCTATGTAGGCCTGGGAAAGTCAGGAAGACCAGAGGAAAACTGGCAAATTCCTTTAGACCCTGAATTTAACTTAAACATTTGTTAAAGAAATGTAAAGCATATTTTCTTTTTAAAAGATGATGCCAACAGATTCCTAATCTTTGTCAGCCAGGGTTGTTTTATTTTGGTTTTGTAAAGAAGGTAGAAGTATATTAAAGAGAGAATCCAGAGAAAAGGGGCTTATGTGCACCTACTGTAGTTGTATTTTGTTGCCCTTACGGGAAAGCATAATGACTCTAATAAATCAGGCCCAGGCACATGGAGAGCACTGAGACTGTCATAGGTCAATCTATGTCTCTTTGATTGAGAACCTGAAACATTTGACTTTTCTTAGATGCCCTTTCTTAGAAAGTTACCTTTCTAGGCTAACTTGTTTATTTTCTAAATACGATTTTGTGATTTTTATGAACTAAGACTTTTTTTTTTCTCCTTTTGATGACACATAAAGCCATTGGCTCCTACAGACCATGTTTTCTTCCTGCTAACCTTCATGCAGTTAACTGATACATTCCAAAGACAGAGAGTATGTACAGGTTAACCTTTGTTAGTAGTTAACTACTGAAAAAAAAAAGCTTAACAGATTACGTTTTCAACTGAGTAAGCAATTCTGCTATTGAAAATTACTCTGCTGTGTAAGTTTAAAACCAATTAAATAAGCAAGATAATAAAAGACATTCAGACAGAAACGTGACAAATCTGAAATCTGACAAATTTTGGAAATCTGTGGAATTGTACCTCGGGCTTCTTAAATAAAATTATCAGTGAAAAAGGTGATTATTCTAACCCAGTCACAACTTGTGAAGCTAGAAAAACAGCAGCAGGCACACTGAAGGCAGTAGGAGAGGCCTAGTGAGCAAGAGGGAGGGTTGAAGCACAAGTCTCGGGCTTTAAATCCCAAACACAGTCATTAATCAGCCTTGTGAGTGGGACATAACATATAGCCTCTCTGTGCCTCCATTGCCCCACTGGGAATAATGGCATCTTCTTTATACAGTTTGTTGAGTTTTCTTCTTTTTTTGAGTGTGGGAAAATACATATAACATAAAATGTACCATTACAGTTCAGTAGTGTTAAATGTATTCACATTGTAATGCAATCAATCTCCAGAATTTTTCATCTTGCAAAACTGAAAATCTCTGCCCATTAAAGGACAACTTATCCTCCCTCTGGTTCTTGGCAACCACCATTGTACTTCTGTTTCTATAAATTTGATTACTCAAAATCCCTCATAAATTTGTAATCAGACAGTTTTTGACTTTTTGTAACTGGCTTATTTCATGTAACATAATGTTCTTAAGGTACATTCATGCAGTGTGTGTAAGAAATATTTTTCCTTTTTAAGGCTAAATATTTGAT